TTTCAAGGTATTACTTTGTAATAAACCTACTGTAAAGGCGGACTCTGATGATGTTGGAGTACGCGGAGCCATACTCATTGGACGCAATGCACTGATAATCAGCTTCATATTGTTCGGGATTGTTCCAAGCAGAGATGTCCAGCGTCCCTGAGTGCCTGCGCATGGATACCTGAGAGTCACGCGCCACGTTGAAATACTTCCCATTTCGCCTCCACGAGAAACTTGATGAATGAAACAATGAAGGATGAAGGGAAAAAAAAAGTCAGTGGTGCATTCGTGGGCAGATTGTGATGCCAGCTTTAACAGAAGCAGTGAATGGAGTGATTCAGCTCTTACATGGGATGAGGGTTTCCTTTGGCCTCACACTCTATGACCATCGTGTCTTTGGGGTCAACAATATGCTCCTTCATTGACTGTTTGTAAATGGTTGGGGGTTGTCTGACTGCAGATAGATAAATGGGCTTAACGTGAAACCTAGAAAAGTTAGGTAAATGAACAACACACCGAACAGCTTAGAACATCTGATCCGAGGGCTGCCTTACTTTCCAGAGGGATGTCCAAAGCCCATACTCTTTGCCACAGAAGCAGCAACATCAGCTGGGCTGGTTTGGCCAGTGCTTCCATCTTTACAGTTCATTTATTCCAGTTGTATTGTGGGTGGTCCTGTGTTCTTAAGAAAGTATATAGACACACATGCTAAAGCATCATTCTTTGTGATATCGTCCTATGTTGTGTGTACAGGCTGGGCCTGTTTAGTTGAACATGATGTAGACCTAATATAGTCGAAGGTACTGAAACTCTTTCGATTTGACTAGATGTTGAGGCAAAGCGTTTCTCAATTTCAAGAAAAAATATTTTTTGTTAATTTGTCTTAGAACTTTTTGATCAATCCTAATATATATTCTGAATATCCAAAATCACAAACACAAAAAACATGCACAACCACATAAATTGCACGGTATATTTTACTTTGGCTTTCTCAGTTTGTTTGAATTTCTTAACAAATAAAGTGTCCATAGCTGTACTTGCTGTAGCTAAATAGATGTTGGACAGAATCCACATATAATTATGTATATTACAATGATTACATTTCAAGTTATTTGCATTTGTCAACAAGCAGATT